TGAAAACAGTTTCATTCAAAACTGATTTTAACATAACATAAACTACCAAGAATACAATATATCAAACATAACTGTGCGTATCAAGAAAGGTTTATGGAAAAGAACATCTTGTGTTGTTTTTTTATAATTAGCACCGTATGTGCAAAAAGTGAAAAAAATTATTTAAATCTGTGCGAGTTTTAAGTTTTTCACTGACAGACCGAGGAAAGATTAATGATGTGATTCTCAGAGGTTTTTTTTCCTCGATGTATTTCGGTTCAAGGACCTAATTGACGTTGGATTAAAATGGAGGTGCGCCGACTTTTACAGTTGATGGCCTATACATTTAAACCAGAACAATGAACGGAAGCTCTTTTACTTTATATATGAGTTTAGCTCAGTATGTCCATAATCTAGTTTAACTGGAAACTTGAAAGCACAAATAAACTGCCTTTGACGTAAAAGAAAACAAATCTGCCCTTAACTCCCAGCTTCACATGTAACTGGCCCTATCTCAATGCCTATGTCGACAGGAAAGCTTTTAAAAAAATTCTTTCATCCATACATGATACATGTTTGAATGTCGAAGTAAACTGCCTACTGTAAAAGTCAGTGCCTTTTTCAAACGTTCTTTCCGCTCTATGAAACATTGCAATAGAATGTGCAACACAAAGGCATGCTAAGAAGTTGTCCATTGACTCATATCGTAATGATAACATTAGAGGTATATATTCAATTCAAACAATAAACTAAAACTGTACCTTTATTTGTGTCTCCATTCATTTGTTCCTTCGTATCATATCCTAATAATTTGTAAGAGAGATAAACATAATTATGTACAAAAGCAATGCATCAATTTTTTTTTTTTTTTTATTTTAAGAGGCAGTGCACTGAAAATCAGGCAGTATTTTATCAATAGGCTGCGGCACATCGAATGTGACGAATATTTGATATTTTATTGAAAACAATGTCAATGTAGTCCAAATTGAATAATGTAATCGAAGATTCGTTTGAAAATTGCTTATTTAGGAAAATATCCTTTTTTGTTTCGTGTTCTTGAATTCCCCTATATAAACCGTTGAATTTAGATCAGAAACAAAGAGCTGTAATTTCGAATACATTTTTAACAGGACTATTATTCATGCTGAACTAAATCTAGAAATATTCCGTCTTTCAGTTTCAAAAATAAAATCGGTGTGCAAACACATTTGATAGTAGTTTTCTGGCAAAATATATAGACGTTTTTATGAAATTTTGCGATGCAAGAGTTATCTCCCGTGGCATCAATAAATCTGCTATAACATCTTACTATCGGAATCCTAGTAAAAAAAATTAGAATATATACACAAAATAAAATTATTAAGCCAAAAATTACTACTTTATTTTCAAAATAGAATTTATTTTCGCCTCCAAATGTAATATTCGGATTAAAATCGGCAGTATTATTCAAGCTGAATCCAAGTTTCCTTGATGTATCAGTGACGTCATATACCTGACTTATATTGCGTCATAATGAAATACATTTAGTTACAAGTTTTCCACAGAAGTTTGTAAATTCTATGCATAAAAGCGCAAAGAAAAAGGTTAAAAATAAATAATTTCTTTTTTTCTGTTCAATTACTCTTCAGTGTGCATTATCCTACATGTTTAATAATCATATATTATATATATTATATTTTTATATAAAATGTATTTTTCACGGGCGTCGTCTCAGCTAGAAGTCCAATTTAATTAAAAATTTTGTACATGTCCGAGAACAAATTTTTTTTCACTGAGTTACTAGGCTATGCTTAGAATTGTTTATATTGAATGTGTCTTGTAAAATTGGATGAATATTTTAGATTTACACAATATTTTCTACGGAGTTGTTTATTTTATGATATTTTTTTAAAAATTATATTTATCTATGCAGTCAAACCAAAGTAAAAATATTTTATTAAAAAAGTGAAAATTAAGATTAAAAACTATTTATTGAGGAAAATTACTGTTCAACTCCTTACTTCAATTAGGCACTATAACGGAAAATTTCGTTGGGGTATTTTTTTGTTTTGTATCTTTTAGTTTGGGAGGGGGGTTAATTTGAATATTGAAAGAATCACATACTCGCCTTCAATATGGAGTTAAAATATGTGACTATGTTGGCCAATTCTAAAATGTTTTCACATTAATAAAACCTTTTTTTAAAGGTGCCGCCTTGCTCCCCCCCCCCCCCCCCCGGCCTTTTGCTTGCGATTTATAGGCTCTTAAAAATGATGCTACTCGTGTATATAAAATAACTTATTTTCTTATTTCTATAAAATTAGATTTTATAAAAGATGAAAATATAGGAAAAAAGGCTTTTTATAGGTGACAGGTTTAAAAAAAAATTTGAAAAAGCCGAGAAAGTTCACAAAAAAAATATTTTTGCATTAAGGTAGGTGCAAGTATAATTTCGCCAATTTATTTAACTATTTAATTCATGAGAAAATAAATTACTTGGAAATAAGATATTTAATAAAGATAAACTGTCTGCTCTCAGGTGTTGCATATGTAACCGAGCAGTTAATTGCAAATGATGACTCAGATGTTGGTATCCATTTTATTTAATGAAGAATTAGAATAAAGACATTGACCTATAACAAATACAAAGAATACACTAGAAAAAATACATAGTTTCATAAACATTGACAATAAGTTACCGTTTATGCAGTATACACATAGAAGATAGAAAAATGTACTGTAGCAAAATAAACTTTGAACCTACAGACAAAATATAAGACTTAATTGAGACAACTTTAACTGCAAAAATACAATAAAGTATAAAGTTTGCAATTAAAATATTATGTATTACCCAAATCTTTAATATTAAAGTAACAAATAATTAAATATGAAAGTTACATACCACAAGATGCATTGGATATCAGCCGGATATAATTTTTTTTTGAAAAACGTAATACTGCCCAATTTTGTTTAGTTTGAACAGTTACTTATACTCAAGGTTAATTAAAACTATTGGATAATACATGTACAAATACTTGTTGTTTTTTTTAAATACCGAGTACAGGTATCAAGAAATCAAACAGATGTTATACATGATTGTAATCTTCATGTACGTACACGACATTGAATATACATTTGAATCTATGGATAAAATAATTTTAAAACAGTTGACTGATTAATCAGAAATAAAAGACAAGTATTTTTTTTCTGATAAATTAAACGAGGAACCAAATTTAGGAATATTTCTATTTTTACGGTTAAAACCGAACCCGATTGAAATAAAACTGATCCCGATTAAAAATTATGCAAAATGTGTAAAATTATGAAACTGAAGAAAACTGCCACTTATAAGACATGTAAAAAAATAAATTAAGTAATTTTTTGGCCATATTACAACAAAAGAGCAAAATTTAGCATTACAGTTATAGTATTTCCTTCTTTATATAATTCCGGTCGGGATCGGTATGATTTGGAAAAATTGTAAAACATAGGTAAATTCGACTCCTTTTATTTCTCGCAATAAACCGGTGCCCACTGATTTTTTAGAGTGACTCAAAAGTTAGTACTTTGTATTCATAATAACATGAGAAAACTAATATGTCAGTGTAATGTATTGGATTTTATAACGTAATGAAAATTGGATAATGAATTCAAAAAGTTACCTGCTAAACTCAATTTTGGACCACAAAATTTTTTCTAAAGAAATATAAATTGGAGTCTTATTCATTGTTAAAGTTAAAATAAGAGTCTGTGGTATAAATAATATTGATAGACATCCTTGTTTTGCGTATCTGGTAAATATAAAACAAAATAAAAACCTAGTATTTTTTTTTCCCCCATGTTGACCTTTTTGCACTTAAAATTGAGCACTTACCAAAAATAGGACTAGTTGAGCACTAAAAATTTTTTTGATGTTGTCATGTGTAAACACTTGCTTGAATAACTCTATATGCAAAAAATAATAAAAATCCATGACACGCGATGTGCCACCCATTGCCTGATTTTCAGTTGACTGCCTCTTAATTAAAAAAAAAATTAAAAGATATTGAAAATTTAAACTCTTTATTACAAGTATAAACTTTATCTAAAATTTGTATTAAACCCAGTTATTTGACAAATTGTCATAACTCAAAGAAAACCGTTTTTGTTTTTCTTCCGAATAGAGGTCTACAAAAAATGGTCTTTTCATGAAATTTACAAAAATACCAGTAAACCGCGGTCTACAACATTTTGAAGATAACACTTTATATTTTCCACACTATGTTATTTACATGTACATATACTATTAGATAATAGAAATTATAAGTTTGATGTTTTTGTTTACTCTAACAATAGCTTCGGAAACTTATTATTGCTGTATATATGATTTTCTTGTATTAACCCAGGTTACTTTAAAATACTATAGTGATTGATATACTCAAGTTATATAAATCAAGATCATGAAGTTCAACTTAATTCTTTCGTATTCTTTGAGCATGTAAACTAAAAATTACAATGACACGAAAAAAGAAATATCAACACTGCATTCGCTTTTTTCTTCATGAAAATACAAAGATTTCGATTTTTATGTTTGCAATTCATTGAAATAAGTATAGCATCATTAAAATGATTAGATAAATCGAAGTGCTGTAAAGCTTTTTGATTATACGGAACATGTTTGAGCTATAATAAGCAGCATGTACACTAGGTAGAGTGACAGTCAGACATCTCAGTCCTAGGATTTTTATTTTTTTCCCAACATCGAGACAGAGTTTATTAATCATGTGATCTATTTTGTATGTTGTTTTTGAAATAAAGCCGTTATCTCATCAGTACTAAATTAACGCAAGAGAAATAATTCATTCTCGCATGAACTTCTATAATTTTTGACTGTCATTGAAAGAAATTGGTTTGACTGTCATTGAAAGAAATTGAGTCCAATTCAATATTTAAGCTCTACTGTTGCATACATTTTTTTCAAATCCCCTTTACTACACTTATGTGTATTTTCTTAGTAATTAGTAGTAATTCTTAGTAATTTCTAAGTAAACTAATATAAGTACCTTTCAGATGTATGGCAAGAATCGTTATAAAAGCTGTAACGGCTAATGTCAGCAGCACTCCAAGTACTATTGAAACAATCCTTTGTGTTTGTCCATTAGCTTTAAAGTTCACCTCACCTAATTTTACATAAAAGTATGAAGAATATGCATTGGTAAATTATTACCAGTAATAAATTAGAGTTTAACATGTCACATTAATGTATAATGGTGAAGCTTTCTCAAAACTATCTTTTAATATCGCCCAATAGTTGAGCTTTCTTACCTTTTTTCAAACCTTCATTTTCAGGACTAACAGAGGACATTGTTTCAGATATGTTGTTTCCTCTTTAAGCCTCCACTTCATCCTTTTTATTTTATATGAACTACACGGAGTATGAAACATGTAATTATATCAGGCTTGTTTCAACGTACTTTTGTACTTCAAAGACGTATTTCCTTGGAGAAGCATAATGGACCCTTTAAAAATGATGTTCAATTATATTTAATAAACCTTATCATTGGTATTTAAAATATAGTTTCAAATTACATTTCATTGGAATGCAAGCTATGCTCCCCCGTGGTTTAAAAGTATCGTGAGTTTCAAATTGAATGTTATTGCATGAAATTATTTTTGAGTGTTATCATCATCTTAATTCATAAATTTTCTGATCACAATACGGTGTTTTTAGTATTTGAAAAAGAGTTTTATTTCAAAGAAGAAAAGGGATTTTAATCTGAAATTCCCTTTCAAAGGGGGAGTTTCGATAAGGCTGTTTTGCGGCCCCTCGAGAAATGTTATGAAATTGAGATATGTTGTAAATAAATGTCTTAGCTTCCTAAAAATATGAAAATAATTTATAGTACACATTATCTGGTCACGTGATGAATAAAAGTTTAAGTATACCCCCTTCCCTTCATTTTAGGAGTAGGCATACTTAAAAGGGGATAGGGCAGTTTTTTCAACGTCAAATCATAAATAAAATGTGATAAATGTGAATAAAAACATCAAATAACCAATTTCATTATTAATTTTTACAGAAAATACATAAAATCTATTTTATGTAAATGTTTTTTAAGTTGCAAGATTTTTCTCGGATTTTAATTGTAAATTTTTCTTTAAAAGAGGGAGAATTTAACTAATAAAACACACATATATATATATATATATATATATATATATATATATATATATATATATATATATATATATATATATATATATATATATATATATATATATATATATATATATATATATATATATATATATATATATAGTACAGACAGAAACGTTTACAAGAGGAATTTACTGACAGTTTTAATTTGAACATAATAATCAATTTATAACAGTTTTCGCGTACGTAGGGAAGCAAATAGATAAAAAAGACATGAGATAGATCAACTTTGAGTGTAATTTACAGGTGTTTAGAACTGTTTGCAATACATTTTCATCAACTTAAGTTATAGCGCAAAATTTATTGTGAAATTATATACAGTAATATTATCAAATTTAATTTAAAACCATGCTTTGAAAGAAAAATGGATTTCAGTACGATTAAAAAAAATGCAAGTACATATTTATATTATTTTAAAAGTATATTCAAAAGAATTGCATTGCAATGCTCGTTGTATTTTTAAAATATATAAATAATATTCAACAAAGTCAACATATTTTAGCAAGATAGCAATTAATAGTCCCTTACCGGTGAAACCAGAGGAACTACAGGTATAGTTTCCATATCGTCTGTCTAGCTGTCCGTCCCTCTGTCTGTCAGTCTGTCCCATTTGGTTTTCCGCACTTTTCTCTATAATCGCTTTCTTTCAAACTTTTATTTGATAAACTTATTTTGAGTATTAAATGTATCTTGCTGAATTAGAGATCGAGTTTGAATTCCGCTTCATTCAAAACTAGGTGAGTGTCCCTCATGTACCTCAGTTCTAAAAACCGAGTTATAAATGCCACCCTCTTATATTTTCCCATAGGCCTAATGATAACGCACTTGCGGGTACATCTAAGTTTGTGTCGGCTATGGTGTGAATTTATTTCATATTAACTTTTGAAATATTAATAACAAAAATTTAGATATTTATCGTTTATTCTACACTTATTTTGAAAAAATAAATTGAAATTCAATTTTATGAAAACAAGTGGGCCGAGAAACAGCCTTATCGAAACTCCCCCTTTCTTTCTAATCGTGTATGTTATGAAAAATACTTTGGTAAAATACAATAATCAAAGTTTCAAAATTTTCACTATAGTGTCAAAGTAAATACTGTAGTAAATGTATGCCTTCCAAGTACTAACGATTTTTTTTCCGAACTCAAAATCATAAGCAAATTACTATCTCAAAGCTTTGATGACAAAAAGCAGACGCCGGATTTGAACGGTCTTCAGGGTATGTTCACGATAGCACTTGATGACACCTCTAATATTTTGGAGGTATTGTTTGCTTTGCTCCAATGTTGCATTGTTTAAAGGAGTTTTGCACTTGAATACTATTTGTTATCAATTTATTTCATACTTGACCATAGTATGTTGCTTCATAGAATAAAAAGATAATTTCACAAAGAGAAACTGAACTGTACTCTCTGTCTACGACTTATTAGGGATTATCCTCATACGAAGCTTTATGCTCTAAACTATATTTATCATATTCTTGTGTGCTGTCTACATCATTGACGAAATCAACATATGATAATCACTTGTATTCATCCAAAGTTTAAATAGAAATTACTAATGAAATTTTAAATTTTAGATACCAGTTCCTTTAAAAGCAAACTTAAGTAGTATTTACACCAGACATTGAGTGATTTCATTAAGATAAGAAAAATCGTAATAATTTTGCCATTTGTTTGTTTGTTTTTTTTGGAATAGATAGTTATTAGTAGTTAAATTTAGTTTTTAAAGTTTAATTAATGTTTGGCACGGAGTTAGCACAAAACGATCTTAATGAAGAACATGTTTGGACATCCTAATCTTAAGAACATTAGACATTTGATATTTTCGGTTTTGCTTTCAACAAAAAATGCAAGTAAACAAAGTTTGTAAGTTTATTTAACACTTTTAGCACAAAGAAAACATATTATGAAATTTATTTTCACCTGTTAACCTTTACTGAATGTGATTTGTCTATATTTGTTTGTTTTTTTGAAATATTACTGATATTTTCCAAGCAATTTTCATTTTCTAGTTCTTTGGAGAAAAAATTCTAAGAACCATCCACTTTTCTAATCTTGTGACATGATATTTATTCTTTTCAAAGAAAAAAAATTGTTTGTATTATCTGTCCTTAGGGTGTAAAATTCCATTTTATTAGCAAAATTAATTATAAAAATTCAGGTAAGACACTGAAAACATGTAATAACTGAGAGGAAGTTACAGGTTCCATTCATACATTATGCTATATTCGATATCAAATGTTGTTTCACTATAATTATTATAATTCATTTCAATTTGCCAACATTTATGAATTAAAGTACTGAACCAGAATGTTTTTTTAATTCATGAGTTCTTAAATTAATCAAAAACATTTCGAATACTTTCATTTCATGTACGTCTTGAGCCACAGTTCAACTTGAAATAATGCAAAACATTTTCAATCACACCAAAAGGCAATATTGGTTTTTTACACTTTAAATTTCAAATATAATAACTGATAATTTATATGTTTTTTTTTATAATAAAAAAAATATTATACCGGTCACTCAAAGCAAAGATGAGAATCCGTTTTATTTTATTTACTGTGCATTGTAAATATTTGTTGTAACCGATATTTTGTTCAGCGCCCAGCAGCCAGGGACTTCCAGAAGACCTTAAGAACTGACGTTTCATATCAATTTAGGCGGTGGCATGATAAAGTTAGAAACCCTCAGTCTTGTTTGTCTTAATTTGAAACCCTCTACCAATATACTGTAAAATCAAATATTTCCTAGGGATCCAATTTTCATGTTTTTTTTTTTTTTAGTTCTTTGGGAATTAATTTTGTGGATGAAGAATTGCTGAGTAGTTCTGAATGTAACATTTTACATTTGTCATTGGAAATGAATTCATTGGTCTCTTCATACCTTAAACACACGAAAGTATTCCCTCAGTTTTGTAAAAGAAGCAATGTTAAAATTTAATGCAAATTCTATTGCCATGGAAACAACATGGGTACTGAATTTTAATTTTGGGAAAAGATTAAGAAACAATTGGAAGCTCAAGGATACTTATTTTTGATATGTACTGGTAAATCTTTTATGTCAAGATAGCGAAAAGAGAACAATTTTAGTAAATCTAAATACATTGTAGATGTTTATTGTAGATATGATTTATTTCCATCATGGTAAACTTTTTAATCATCTCTAACTTTATCAGATAATGTTTACATGTAAAGAAGAAAAGCATTATCATATAATATATTTACTTAATCATTAGTTAAGAAAAACAGTAGTATCTTAAAATAGTATAAAAAATAAATGAAATTATATATCTTAAACCATGTTTACACAATGGAGCAATCTTTAACATCTGAGTACATTTATGATTGTGCACTTCTTTGAACATCATTGTCTTGGTATTTTATAAACCTAATCTACGATATGTAATATCTATACAAAATTCTCAGATAGGACTAAAATATATTTTTAGCTCACCTGAGCCGAAGATCTCAAGTGAGCTTTTCTGATCAAAATTTGTCCGTTGTCTGTCGTTGTCGTAGTCGTTGTCGTCGTTAAATTTTCACATTTTCTTCTTCTTCTCAAGAACCACTGGGCCAATTTCAACCAAACTTGCTGCGAAGTATCCTTTGATGAAGTGCATCAAGTTTGTTCAAATGAAGGGCCAAGCCCTCTTCCAAGGGGAAATAGTTATGAATTAGTGAAAATTTAATGACATCTTTTAAAAATCTTCTTCTCAAGAACTACTTGGCCAGGAAACATGAAACTCATAAGACAGCATCCTCAGGTAGTGTTAATTCACCTTTGTTCAAAATCATGACCCTCAGGGTTAGAGTGGGGCCACAATGGGGGATCAAAGTTTTACATAGAAATACATAGGATAAATCTATAAAAAAAATTCTCAAGAACTGCAAAGCCAATATTGGTTATTATATGGAAGCCCCCTCATGTAGTGACTGATTTTGCATTATAAGATGCAGAATCAATTTTGTTTAGTTTGTGTACGTCAGGAATAAAATCAACAGAGAGGTGAGATTGTTTTTTTTTTTTTTCGATCGGGCGTGGTGAACTAATATCTGAAAAAGAGGCTCAGCTATTTTTGATGTGGAGTCGTGGATACTGGAAGAAAGTTTAGATACTCGGATCTTAAACCAAATTATTGATC